TGAGGCCTGGAGAGCGCCCAGGGCCAGCTGACAGCCCAGCCCAAGAAGGGGGCTGAAGGGGAGAGGCCTTCTCTCTGCAGGGGACGGTGTCTACCAGAAGGGGATGGACTTCATCCTGGAGAAGCTCAACCACGGGGACTGGGTGCACATTTTCCCGGAAGGTCAGTGGGGCTGGCAGGGTTGGGCCCCCAGTCTGAGTGGGACGGGCTCCCAAGCCTCGCCTCTGTGCTCTCTCGCAGGGAAAGTGAACATGAGCTCCGAGTTCCTGCGCTTCAAGTGGGGTAAGGGCTGCTGACGTCTGGTTGCGGCCACCATCCTGGCTCAGAGGTGGCATGTGGCCCCAGGGGAGCTGGTTGGAACTGGGGGACCTCCAGGGTGGAACTGGCCATAGGCTGGCACAGAGGCTTGGCCCAGGGCCCAGCTCGTGCCAACGTTTCTGCCTCCCCCGGGCAGGAATTGGGCGCCTGATTGCTGAGTGTCATCTTAACCCCATCATCCTGCCACTGTGGCACGTCGGTGAGCCTGGAGGGGGCAGGGAGAGGGCCTTCCCTAGATAGTGACAGACTGGGCATCTGGGTGGGGGCCTGGGGCTGTCTCTGGACCTGGGCTGCCAGGCTCCACCCAATGTCCAGCCTCTGTCCACTGTGCCACAGGAATGAATGACGTCCTTCCTAACAGTCCGCCCTACTTCCCGCGCTTTGGACAGGTGGGTAGGGGTGCTGACTGTAGCCATCTGTCTGCCTGTCTGTCTGTCCTCTGCCTCGTGTCTGCCGGATGCAGGAGGAGCTGAGCTTGAGGTGGCAGCAGGGGGACCAAGTGGGATATAGACAGGGACTTCCTGGCACTGAGGTCATTAGAATGAGAGCAGAGAGCATCAGGCCGAGGCAGGGTTGGGCCCTGGGGTGGGGATAGGTCGGCTCCCAGATCGGGATGGCCCACCACCTGGTTTTAAAGGGGGGAGGATGGGCCCCCAAGCAGCACATGAGGGCTGTTCCAGCAGGGCTGTGGGCACTGCTCCTTGTCACCCTTGGTGACCGGCCTCCCCACAGAAAATCACCGTGCTGATCGGGAAGCCCTTCAGTGCCCTACCCGTGCTCGAGCGGCTCCGGGCGGAGAACAAGTCGGCCGTGAGTGTCCTCCCAGGCGCGCCGTAGCTGTCCGCAGACCCCCGCTGTGGGCTG